CGGTGATGCTGGCGTACTACTTCGAGTACACGGACACGTTCACCGTGAACGTGCAGGGCTTCTTCTGCCACGACAGCGCCTACCGCAAGCCCTACCCGGGCCCGGAGGACAGCAGCGCCGTGCCCCCCGTGCTCCTCTACTCGCTGGCCGCCGGGGTCCCCGTGCTCGTGGTAAGCCCGGGACTCGCCCCCGCGCCCGCTCCCTTCTTTCGTCCCCAGTCTGCACGGTGGAGGCCCCGCGGAGGGTCTGGCACGACCGCCTTTGCCTTCTAAGTTCCTCCAAGTTGTTGGCAGCCCCTTCCCCAGAGGACATTCTTGTAGGGCACGTGAGGGGTGGGTGCGAAGGAAGCCCCCAGCTCTCCCCACACCCACCCCCGCACCCCCTGCGGGAACTGCAGTGTAGGGTGACGAGGGGGAGGATGGCAGGGAAGGGGGGCTGTAGTGGGAATGAGTGGGGGTCTGGGCCAGGGAGGAGGTGAGCTTTCAGGAGGCATCTCACTTCATCCGCTCTGGCCTGGCCTCCCCTGGCCGCCTCCTCTCCAGCGCCGCCAGGAGATGAGCAGCAGCCAGGCTGGTGAGAGAGGGGAGCCAGGTGTTGGGGTGTGGAAGGGACTCCCGCTTCCAGAGTCGGGGCGCACATTCCTGTGTGCCTTCCCTCTCACGGAAGTGCCTGGACTAAGCTGACCAGGCAACACACATTTAAAAGACAATTTGGGAATTTCCAAATGAAGAGGCCTCTACAGCAGTGCTTTGCTGAAAAGCCTGAGCTGTTCCGAAATTACAAGAGCACTTCAGATTTATTTTGGGGCTGCTCTGCTGCCTGGGAAGCTCAAGTCTTTTTCTCTTTGGCTCTCCCCGAGAATGCCTTTTGCCGTTATGGTGTGTGTGTGTGTGTGTGTGTGTGTGTGCCCGCGCGCACCTGTGCCTGTGTGTAAGAGAGACTCTGCACAGGAATATGCATGCACACTTTATGTATATGCAATCATCGAGCTGTAATCATACAATCAGCTATATATGTTAGTATGGTGCAAAATTATTACTAAGAGAATTTGTGATGTTTCTTTAGGAGATTGGCTACATTATGGTTTCTTAAATATTGACAAAATACTAGAGGTTTTCTTTCTGTATGCTGCTTTTTTCTCTCCTGCCCTCTCTTTTGACAAATGCAAATAGCAAATTAGAAAGGGAAGAGGAAAGGGACACTGAAATTTTATATTCAATAGCTGAATATGTAAATTGTAACAGTGAATGTTCAGAACATCTGTTGTATCCATTAGGCTTGGGTATTCATTTTGTCTTTGATTTTAGGGGAAACGACTTCATAATTTTTGAAATAACAGAAAGTTCCTAACACGGAATTCTATGAACAAACCAAGGAACTTCTTGATGACTTCAAAAGAACTTTGTTTAGACATGCTGTGAGAGTGGATTTTAAATTCAGCTTTGGCATGATGGTTTGAAATTGTGAGACCTTGCCCCAGAAAATGTGGGTTTTCTTTTTTTATTTTTTATTATTGAAATTTGCTGAGAGTTGTCAGAAACCCCAAATCCAGCTCACTGTTTTGTACTCTCTTCCATTTGAAAACCTAGCAGAGGAGATATGGATATGTTGGGGGTCCCTTTTTACTTTTTTTGCAGAGGATGGATTTCCAGACAAACATTTCCAGGAGATAAATGGCTTAGGGATTTTTCAAGGATATTAAAACAAACAAAAACCTTACTTTCAAGTTGGGTCACAACTGTAATCAACAGTATCTGTAACTTATTTATTTATTTATTTATTTATTTATTTATTTATTTAGGTAATTACCATTCTGTGCCTTATTTAAATGAGATAGCACTTTTCAGATCCTAACCAACCATCATGGTGGCAGGTATTAATTAGAGACAAGAACACATTGGCTCAAAGATTTCAGTTGTTCCCCACACAGGGAAAACCTAGGAGGGAGAAGCGGAATTAGTTTTGCTGAGTGCCTGCCCTGTGCTGGTCCCTGAACAGTCAATGAGGCGTATATCTCAGCATACCTTCCAAGCGATGCGAAGGAAGCCACTATACTGTAAGGGGTCTTGGGGGGGGGGCACCCAGAGGTGTGGGAGGAATTCTTCAAAAAGTTCATGGAAAATGCTTATCATGAAAACATTATGCATGTATTTCAAAATACTTTTTGCCTAGAAGCTTGTATTTAGATTCCATTTTTCCATGAACTTTCTGAAGCCCTTTCATATAATCTCCAATTAACATTTGAGGAAACTGAGGTTCAGATAATAAGTCAAAAATATCTAAAAACAAAATAGGTGAGTGCAGTATTTGCTCATACGACCCCTGTAAATACTATGCTTCTTATGGAAGAGCAGGTGGTCTGAAAGAAGATGAAAGACAGCCAGTGGGACAGACATGGAGAGTACGGTGGATAGGTTTTCAGAAGGAAGGATCAAACTTGGTTTCCATGTTTTTACTTTCAGATCTTTTTTTTTTTGAGAGGTTTTTGCTATAGGGCACGTGTACTCACCAGAAAGACGAGACGGACAGAGAGACAGAAAGCGAGAAATCACCCCCCAGGGGGTATGGCAATGCCACAATCCCTTATCCTTCATTCTCCTCTCGGGATCTTGGGCACACATGCACACGCACCTGGCGTGAGTTTAAGCCATCAGGTTTGGGACTTGAACTGCAGTTGACTACATGAGAGTCCAGTGACATAGCCATTATGCCAATTGCTGGGCCCATGACTTTCAGCTCTTTAGGTATAAGAGGATGGTTATGGGAGTCAGTTTGAAGCAAAGAAAGCATTGGGTTTTGGACAATAGCCATGTTGCTGGCCTTTGTGTCCCCTTTGCTCTTAGGAATAGGACGCTGTCCTCATGTGAGGAGCTGGCAATAGTACTGGCAGCACTGCCTCTCCATTGCTCTCAAACCACTGGCTTAGAACACTCACTTAGGCATAAAAATAACAATACTAATAACTAATTAATAATATTAATAATGCAGTAGTATCTATTTATTGAGTTTTTAGTTTATTTTAGATAGTCTAATAGGTGTTCTAATATTTTTAATATTTTCAGTATGTCTGGAAGCAATTATTTATTATATAATATTAGAGAAGTTGGGGCTTAGAAAGATTAAATTACTTTCACAAAGACCAGAATTTTAACCCTGATTTATTGAACTCCCAATTATACTACAGTTTTTCCATTATACTATGAAAATTTTATTTATAAATTATTTTTTCTAAGTAAATATTTCAAAGAATTTCTTTCCTGTTTTTACATTTCTTGTACTGTAGTGATAAACGTTCTTCATAAAATACACGTTGTTCACTTTCTAAACTTGCTTCTAATCTGGAAAGTAATTTTGAAAAGTAGTTCTCACTACCAGTCTGTGGATTTGTTTTATACTTGCTAAATTTATTCATCTAAAAATGTTAAAGAATATATTTCAATTTTATCACTTAATATAGTGCTGACTTAGGGCCAGATTTGGAGTTTAACAAATTGGATGCAAATAGCTACATAGAGAGTTGGGAGCTCCACTTACCATGTAGTCTTCAACAATTTAAGATCATTAAGCCTCCATGTGCTAAGTCACAAGATTTTGAATATTAAATTAGTTATCTGTAAATGGCATTTTTGGCTCATAAATGATCCTCCAGGCATTATTATTAGTAGTAAGAATTTACTAAATGTTTATTGGAGGTGTGTGCTTTGGTTCAGTAGTGAGTATAAAACCAACTTCAGAAATAAACCATGATCACTGACCTTAATGAGTTTATAACCTAATTTGAGGTAACACACCAAAGATCATAATAGAAATAACAAAATATTTAATTATAATGTAAAGAATTATTTAATTTAACATTTATTTATTTATTTATTTAAATTTGACCAGAGAAGGACAGAGAGAGAAAGCAAGAGAGAGGAAAAATGAGAAAGCAAGTCACCAGGTCTGGGACTTGAACCACAGTCAGCCATGTGGGAATCCAGCATCCTTAACCACCATATCACCTGCTACCCCCATTAATTGTAGTATAAATAATGATAAAAGTTACACATATATGTATATACATGTAACATAAGTGTGTTTACATACCACAAGGAGTTCTGGTGGTTCAGATGAGGTCAAGATCATATTGTTTGGAGGAGTAAGAAAGGGCTTCATGGTGGCATTTGATATGTATCTTGAAGGGGAGTTCAAAATGGAATTTGATTCAGGATATCACAGAAGCAGCTCTGTGGAACTAGCAAATATAGATTATTTATTATTGAAACAGCTATCAGTTTGTCTTGTTTCCAAGTGGTGTGTGGGGGAAATAGAATTTACGATTGAAAATGAAGGCAGGGTTGCATTGATCAAGCCTGAAATGCCAGGCTGAGAGTTTTTCTTAACTCATTAGGAACTGAGCAGGGATATAGTCCAGTGGGTGATATTTTAGAACATTTTGGGGGGAGTCATGTGTAGGGGTCTTCTGTTAATATTTACATTAAACAGTTTTAAACTCTTCAATGTTATATAATATTATTTTAATTGTGTTTTCAGGGGAAAGAACGTACTTTGGACTTGTAGAGATGATATGGTTTATAAATTCTTTGAAAATGGATACTGTTCAGTTTGATCTGTATAGCATTTGCCACAAAGCACCATATAAACATGTACAGATATAAATGTATTTAGTCATTGGTTTTAATTGATTAAAAGAACTGGTGATAATGGTTTCTACTCCCCAGATATGGATGCAGTAGCCTCCAGTAGCTAATGTTTCTTAACTCTGAGCAAAGCAGATGATTCAAAGGAGACCAAAGCTAAACAATCCATCTCTGTAGAACCAGGATCATGATTACAAAAAACAAGCACCAAACCAAGGAAGCTCTTGACACCAGACAAGGCAGAGATAAAAGTTAAGCACACTCAGATTCTTTATGTCTGTGTGGTTGTGTTTTTATATTCAGGGTCCAGGAAGCTCCCTCAGTCCCTCCTGAGACTCCAGTTTGAGGGATGTAGCTACTGCCACTACTCCAGGAGTACTGGTGTCACTAACTGTAGTGAAGGTAGATGGTGACCGAAAGGGATCTCATAGCCAGCGCTCCATCACAGTGGAGCAAAGTGCTTGAAGCTTTCCTATAGATGTCTTCTCCCCTAAATCTTGCCTTGGTATCCTCTTCTATCTTCACTCCTG